GTCTTAGATGGGGCTGTTGTTGGATGCTGAGTCTGTTCAGACTCACGGTGACCCCGTATGACACCGTTGGGTTTTTCTTGGCTGTGATTTGCACACAAGCCGATCTCTGGGGCTTCATCCCAGGGCCCACTGGCTGGGTTTAAACCGCAAGGTTTCCGTTAGCAGGCAGGGTGCCACCAGGGTAGGCCTGTATGTGTATTACAGCCCCTTTCCAGAAGATGGCAGTAATGAGCACTGCTTCCGGCAGACACAGCAGACTATCTTGAGGGAGGGGTGCCTCTTTTTCCTTTTCACAAAGGCACCTTGTGGGTGAGCCGCAGCCCTGTCCAGGAGAGGGATGTGTGTGGGCAGGAGGAGTGGGGAGCGTGGCTGTAGCAATCAGGATAAGCTGGGCCAGGCTACGGTAACAAGCCGACTCCCGGTCTCAGGGCCTAGAACAGCCGGCAGCACGTACCTCTCACTCAGGGCCAGGATCTCGCCATGACCTGTCTCCATCTCCACAGGAGGCGTCCGTCATTACCCTGACAGGGGAGGGGCAGGCTGAAGAGCCCCCGCTCAAACCCAAACCAAGCCTGTCGCCAAGCCCAGGCGTCCCAGAGTAAAACGGCTCTGTGGGGTTTTCTTCACGGAAGCAGATCGCCAGGCCTTGCTTCCACGGCACCGCAGGGTAGCTTTGAACCACCAACCTTTCTGTGCCCAGTCGAGCTCACCCCAGAGACCACCCCAGCGTGCCACTAGGTCTTACGTGCTCTGGCCTGCAGGTGACTCAAGTACTTCTGGTCACAGCCCAGGAGCCAGGACGAGTCTCAGAGCCGGTCTAGCCAGAGCAGGGCTGGATCCTTGGTGGGCAGTCAGCACCTTTGCTCTCTCGATCTCTCCCTTTGCCCAGAGTGTGACTTGGGGTGACACCTCTGCCTTCTTCCTACTCCGCCCTGCTCCATCCCCTGGCCCCTGGCCCTGACGCCGCATGCTTCTCTTTGCAGATTCATGGTCCTGGTGCTGATGCACTTGGACCTGGAGCTGGTCAGCCCGGAGGCGGAGATCCCGGAGTTTGACCTGAGCAGATACGGCTTCGGTCTGATGCAGCCGGAACACGATGTGCCCATCCGGTACCGCGTGCGGCCATGAGGTCCTGGACAGACCAGGCCTCCACCCAGCCCTCACCCACTCTCTCCGCTTCCTGTGACCAGTTTTGCCTGAGGGGCAGCCCTGTAAACACCCTATTGCCTGCTTTTTGGCTAGAAGGCTAGGGGGGTGGGGGGAGGGAAGGAGGGGACTGAGAGAAGGCGAACCCAGGAAAGACATGGAGAGCGTTGGACTATTTGCTGCCCAACGTTAGTTCCAAGATCAGAATCTGGCCTCTCCCACAAGCCTCGCTCCTCCTCACGTCTTAGGAAGGCGACACAAGTCCACACAAGTGCATGCAGACAGAGCCAAACTAGGAGTTGTCACTGCCCCCTGGCTCCCAAAGGGTGACCTTCTAACCACTTCACTGGTGCGGTCTGGGCCTCAGCCAATCAGAGCAGATGCCGACCAGCAAATGCTAGCAGGGGGACCTAGCAGTGTGTCCTTTGAAACCAGCTCCACTCCCAATGACTATTAGTCCAGCTAAAGCCAGGGAAGCCCCCTTAAAATAGTCACTGCCTCCATGCCCCACCTTCTGGCCATGTCTTCTCACCTCTGCTGCTTGGGAAAATGCAGGCTCTTCTGGGGCTGGTTCATCAGGAGACAACACGGGGCTCCAAGGAGTAGCCTCCCCTTTCCTGGCATGAGCTGACGTCACCTAATTCATGGTGACCCCACACACAGCGGGGACCCCGAGGCTTCTCACAGGCTGATATTGCAGAGTCCCAGGCCTGTCCTCCCACCCTGTCTTAGTCTGAAACCTGCTCAGTCCTGTAGCCGCCCGCCAGCCTCCACGGGCTGTTTGTGGATCATCAGCTGGGAACTTCCCCCCAGTGTGGAAGGCGACTCCAGGGCTGTATCTCAGGTAGGAACACTGAGGCAGGCACAGCCCTGATGCCCGCTGAGGAGGGACCAGCCAAGTTCAGGAGGAGGAGTTGAAGGTTTCTTGCCCAACAGCCCTAGCGGCATAGCAGTTACCAGTTGGGCTGCAACCCTCAAAGTCAGCAGTTCAAAACCACCAGCCATTCCTCGGGAGACAGACCCGGCTTTCTACCCCTGTACAGCGTGACGGTCTCCGAAGCTCACCGGTCTACTGTGCTCTATAGGGTGGCCATGGGTCCACATGGAAATCATTTGCCCTCTAGCACCACCTGTGGGCATGAGCTTTGTTTGACCATTGCTTAATTTTTTTTTTAAAGGAGTCTTGGTGGTATAATGGTTACTTGTTGGGCTGCTAACCACAAACTCGGTAGTTCGAAACCGTCAGCTGCTCTGTGGGAGAAAGATGAGGCTTCCTACTCCCGTAAAGAGCCACACTCCTGGGAACCCACAGGGACCGCTCTATCCTGTCCTATAGGGTTGCTATAAGTCGGCATCACCTTGATGGCAGTGGGTAAACAATAAATGACAGTGGAGCTCTGAGAGTATTGATGAAGAAGGACCAGCTTCTCCTGAACACGTGGGTGTGGCCCACATCCCCGTGGCCACCATTGGGCAGAGGCGAGCAGTAGAGCCCCTGAGGAGGGGGTGGCTTCCCAGTTTGCAGGGCCTCCTGCCCCTGGAAGGCTTTTGATTCTAAAACTCCTGTTCAGAGAAGTAACATCAAGGAATGGGAGCCAGTAACTGCTCATCCAGTCCTGGGTGCACCCGGCGTGGAGACCTGTACTTTCTTCATTCAGCCTTAGGGGCCAGACAGACAGAAGGGCTTTGCTTAGAAGCTGTGCCTGGGGAGGTAGACATTACTCACATTTGTGCCTGTCTTTCATGCCCTCTAAATGCCCTTGGCAGGAATGGGAGGCATCACAGCTCTGCTTCTCATGCCTCTCAGAAGAGAAGAGGGGGAGGATTTCCTGACAAACAAGGAAGCCGGCTCTGAGGGCGTGTGGCAACTTGCCCAGGGCAACACAGCTTCAACCTGGTAGGGTCTGGGGGAACAGACTTCTTGCCCCGGATGCACATGTGGGAGAAGCAGTTCCTTGTCCCTTGAGCTCAAGGGGGTAGTCTAGTTTGGAACTGGCAAGTGGGTGGAGCCAGAGGGACTCATGTGTGCATGCACTGCGTGAGACAGACAGACACAGCTAGGTCCTTTTGGCTTTAACGGACAGGTGAGGCGAGGACCTCTGACTGGTCCAGGGGCTGCTAAGCTCTTCTGGGGACAGCTCCAGGCTTGGGGGCTTCCCTGGCCTCAGGCTCCGGGCACCCTCGGGATTCCCAGGCAGGCACTGTGATTGGCAGGAGGTGGGATATCCCCAGGGAAACCCATCTTCATGCCTGGGTGACCCCCCCTGCTGCCTGCTTCTTAACTCCACAGGAAATCAGGGCTGGTAGCTTTGTGTAGGAGGACCAGAGCCAGTTTCCATGGCAACCCTCAGCCACCTCATCCCTGGCTTGGAAAGGAAGGCAGGGAGGAAGAGGGGTGGGGAAAGAGCCCCTGGAAGCTCCCTCTGCAGCGCCCGACCTAGCCAGCTGGGAGAACCCCTATGACCTTTCCCCTTTCCAGTCAGAGCAGGGCTCTCACCTGGGTTCCCAATGTGGGCCCAGCTCCCCCAGAAGGTGAGTCTCTTTGGAGCCCGATCATTGGGGAACTGCTCCCGGAAGAGACAGCTCTCCCAGCAGGCCGCTCCAGCTGGTCCCTGAGCCTGTGAAGGACAGTTTGGGAGACAGTGAATTAAACCCTTCCTTGTTTTAATCTTTCTTTGTTGTTTTTCTCTCTCCTTCCAACCCTCTTCTCCCTCTCTCCCCAGCCCTCCCTTCCTCTCTCTTTTAATATAAGCCTTGGAGTAAAGAACAGGTTCAAGCCTTTGGGGGCTTCCCCAGCCCTCGGACTCAAGGCAGTTCAGAGCCACCAGCCACTCCTTGGGAGAAAGATGAGGCTTTCTACTCCCGTTAAGAGTTACACTCCCAGAAACCCACAGGGGAGTTCGACCCTGTCCTGGAGGGTGGCTCTGAGTGGCATCGACTCCCTGGCAGTGAGAGTGGTATATGGAGCACAGAAGGCGCTCGGCTGCGAACCAAGTAGTTCGGAGGCACCAGCCGCTCCGTGGGAGAGAGATGTGGCAGTCTGCTTCTGCAGAGCAGCTTCCCAAACCCCAAGAGGCAGCTCTACTCTGCCCTACAGGGTCACAGGGGCGAGGCGGCACAGACCTGATAGCTCTGGGTGTGGGGTTGTGTATGTGTGGGTGGGTGGGTGGAAAAGAGGGCCGGGTGAGCATGAGCAGTGTTAGGAAGGTTCTAGGTGTCCTGGTATTGCTTCATACCTCGCTTCAGACTCAGAATTGTTGGACATTCTCTAGAAATACCCTTAGGCGGATCTAAGGAAGTGTCTGATTGCCACCCTCCTCCTCATTCTATAGCTTTTATTTGGGTGGGGGGGGGCATATATTTTATATTGTTTACCTACTGTTTTCTTTTAAACAGAGTCACTTTATAAATGGAAAGTAGATTTGTTTTTAAAAGGGTGTTCCTTTTTTGGGGGGGGTTGGATCGTTGCTAGTAATGGACAATGTGTATCACTGGCTGCCAAAAATAGACAGTGACTGTGAAAAATGAGTGTGCTGGGTTGGGGGTGCTCCATGCGGGTGCTGCCATGCCTCTGAGCCCGTCTCTCTGCAGGTAGGAACCCAGAGCACCAGCATGTGAGCCTGGTGCTCAGGCCGTGCCAGCACCACCCAGGGCAGGGCTCCACGCCATCAGAGGGGTGGGCAGGGCCGAAGAGGGAGGGCGGGGCTCTCAGGTGAGCTGTCCACCACGCACAGCCTAGGAGACACCCGATCAAGGTCATCTCCTACCACCAGGGTCCCCTGCCCACAAGCCCCGCCCACTGGCCCCACCCACACTGTCCACCCAGAAACATTGGAAGGTCTAGTGCAAAGTCATTGATTCTGATGCTATGTTTTTGATCAACACAGTGTGGCCTGACTAGCAGTGACTGCTGTGCCTTCCTATTTTAATCAAGAGTTCTCGTTTCCTATAACGTCCAAGGGGCGCTGTGCAGAAACGTATTAAACCATCGTGACTGGTGAAACTGTCTCTGAGTGTGCTTCAGACATAGGGACGCACTGGGGTCCGTGGGCAAGGCGTTGGCCAGAGAAGAGAAATAAACAGACAACCACTGGGCACTGTTCTGCGCCAGCCCCTCCTTCCATGAGCCCCATTTTTCCCCCACCACAGAACAAAAAACTGGGGCTCACAGAGGTGAAGTGGTTTACCTAAGATCACATGATAAAGAGGGGCAATTGAGATGCAGCCCTCTCTGCCTCCCAAGACTGTTCTGGATTTTCTCCTGACTGCCGAAATGGGACCAGGTGCCCAATGAGGACCTTGCAGAAGGGGAGGAGGGTCGGGTCTCTGAAATTGTTCCCATGCCCCAACATGATGTGGACCCCTGTTTAATAGGAAAAGGGAGGGTAATGTAGATTCAAAGAACACTGGGAAAAAGTAATTAGGGGAGGTTGGTTTAAGTACCAATAAAGCTCTGGGGCAAACGCCCCTGATGTCAGGGAAGCACACTCCCTGAAGTGAGATTTGGCTGGAACAGGACACCACAAACTAACAGTGATGTAAGCACAACAGATATTTCTCTCATGCAAATAAGAGGCGGGGTGGTGTCTTGATGTGGCTCCTCCACCATCCATAGCTACCTACCACCTTAGGGTCCCACCGGGTTGCTTGAATTTTAACCATTTTGTCCACATGCCAGCCAGTAGGAAGGACTGAGCAAAGAAGGCAGTCTCCCTCCTTCCATCCTATTGGTCAAAACTTGGTCACATGGCACTCCCTGCTGCATAGGAGTCTGGGAAATGTAGTTTTTTCCAAGAAGGCCAGTGTGTGCACTTACATGTCCCTACTTGAGAAGTACTGCACTGCACACTGGTTTACCAGCCATGGTCTAAGCCACACAGCAGAGCCAAAGGGACAGCACTGACCTCCCTGAGCCAGGGGCATTTTCTCCTGGGTCTCAGAGGCCCATGGCCCCAAGAGTTTGCCTTTTCAGACCCTTGTACAAAAAGAAACTAGGCTCATTCGAAAGACTCTCTCCATCCCAGCAAACCCCCAGGCTTTATCTTACCCTGTGGGGACATTGAGAGATCCACCTGTCATTTGCTCCCACATTTTATCTATAAAAGGATATTTTAAAGCAAAAGGAGGAGGCTTAGTGGTAGAATAGTTACACACGGGGCAGCTACCCTACTTCGAAACCGCTCAGTGGGTTCCCAGAAGAAAAGAGCTGGCAGTGTGCTCCCATAACTATTCAAAACCACACACAGCTGGGATGGAGTCCATTCTGACTCCACGGGCAACGCAGAACTGCCTCTGGGTTTCCGAGCCTGTTAATCTTTCTGGGAGCAGACAGCCTCACCTTTCTCCCTCAGAGCAGCTGGTGAATTTGAACCGCTGATTTTGCAGTTAGAAGCCCAATTTGTAACCCACTACGCCACCAGGATTCCTTCCAGTAAATATTACTGGCTAGAACTCCCCGCCCCCCCCCATGCCCCCTGGGGGGCAGTTCTCATGAGGTCCCTCTGGGTTGGAATTGACTGGAGGACACACAACAATAACCAAATCGAAAGATTGGTTCTAGATCCGAATGAACAGCCTTTCACCTAAAAGGTGAAATTCACTCACCCTGGTGATGCCGTGGATGAAGTGCTGGGCTGCTGGCTGAAAGGTTGGCTGGTCAAACCCACCAGCTGCTCTGAGGGAGGAAGACGAGGCTGTCCGCTCTTGTCAGGATGGACCGTCTGGGAAACCTTAAGGAGCAGCTCCGTTCTGTTCTCTAGTGTTCCCGGGAGTCAGGACCAACTCCGTAGCTGTGGGTTTGCTTCTTCTGAAACAGAAACATCACAGAAAATGTGATGTGTCCATGTTGGGTACTCCTGGATAGTGGGGTACTATGCAGTGATAAAAAGAGATTAAAAAGCACTGACACATGCTGTCACCTGCAAGAACCTTTCACACATGACATTGAGTGGAAGTAGCCTGTCCAAAAAGGCCACATACTATCTGATCCCATGTACCTGCAACAGCAAATACATCATGAAAAATGTTTTCTTGGACTGGGGAAGAGGGCCCAGGGAGTGACAGAAGACTTCTCCGGGAATGGTGACAGTGCTTTCTAGTAGACTGTGGTGATGGCTGCACATCTCTGTGAACACAGGGGTAGCTCAGAGATATGGCAGGTTTCAGTCCAGCCCACCACCATAAAGAGACTAGTCCAAGAGAGCCATGGGACTCCCCCTCCTCCCCTACAG